CCATAGTAACAGATGCAAAGAAAGTTACCATCTTGGAGACATAAGATTTTCTTAGGAGTTTCACAGTGAATAACGTTACAGTTATTACATGAGAATAATATAAGAATAATATATTACATGTATAACTGTTCAAAATAAGACTGCAGCTCCAGCCAAAAGGAGAAGTCTGTGTAAGGCACCCAGTCGGCTAATGGAGTGAGACGAACACACAGTAGCAGTTCAGCAGGTGGTTATGAGCGCCAAGCCGGGAGAACAGCACTGCATTCCCGAACTCTTCTGCAGTGACATCACCTACCCTTTCAGACAGCTGTCAACACACACCACGCAAGAGGGGTCGCAAAGTGACCAGAAGAACGGGGACAGGTGATGTGATCTGCTACAGGTCACAGGGCAACAGCAAAATGCAGATGGAAAAAAGCTATTAGGACATACAGACGTTACGGTCAATGGAGCAGCCATGGTTGCTCTGTCCTGGACAGCACAGAAAAAGTAGAGCACTGCTGCAGCCCGGAAGATCCTTCAGATCTTACTGTACTTATTGCAAGACCGCAGCTGCATCAGTTCAGAGAGAGAGAATTACCCCAAAAACACCCTGACAGACTTCGCTCTTTCCTATGGCTCTTTGAGTGCTGAGCAGTGGTCAGTGAAGGGGAAATGTGCTCTTATACCCGTGGGGGGGTGTCATGCTGCCCAAGACTGCCCCATATCACATGAGGCTCCTTCAAACAACACCAGATAGGTGAAACTATCGTACTGAGACAGAACCTTGATAAAGCATCACTGGCGGGAAGATCGCGAAGATACAGAGCTTGGTGGCATTCTTTGGTTTCATCTGTATAAACAGATGTTTATACAGATAAATGTTTCATTCCCATGACCACATCTGGACAAAAACAAGCAGTGATCCTCCATCTGCGCTGGACTCGCCAAACCAGCCTCTATGAAGATTTGGAGTAGCATTCAGAATCTGAAACAGTTTCACGGTAAAAATGCAAAATTCAAATCAGTGTCTTGTTTATGCTGTAATAAATAAGGAGAAGCTGATCCTAGATCAGTACACAAGGTCACTTGACCCATATGGGGCCTGAAGGAAAGAAAGCAGACGTGGGGAGTTAGCTTCCTCGTTGCGTTGGGACTGGGCCAATGACTTGTACAGTGAGTCTGCACAGGTCACAGGCAATATAATGAAATATGGCCTTCAGTGTCTCCTGTTTCTTAAAGCCCTAGAGCTTTATTTTCATGAGTAAATAGATATGAATATATGATTATTCTAATAGCCCTTCTTTCTGACAGACATCCAGTCAAAGCACGTGAGCGGGATAATGTTATGGCAACTATTCAAAACTAGCACACTAAAATATTTGGGTTAAGCTTCATTGATGAAGGATTCTCTTCATGCCAGCCAAACCCTGCGCGCCTGCATTTAAAGAAGGGTGGTGGCGGTGGTCAGAAATAGAGAATGTCAGTTGCTCTAATCTATTTAAAGCCCACAGCCAGTGGGGTCTGTTGTGACTTCCAGTCACCATGTGCCAGAGGAGAGGACATGCAATACTGCAGTCTCCATTACAGCAGAGAGACAGAGAGAGAGATAGAGAGAGACAGTGTGAGGGACAGAGACACAGAGGAAAAAAGTTCAGGTACAGTGGGGACAAACTGCAGACACAGTCCTAATCACATTCCTTTCGACAAAGTTTGCTCATCTCACACTGAGAGGTGTTATAAATTCAGCAGACAGTTTTGAAGCACTGATCACGTGTCATTTGGGCCTGCAACTTCAGCGGCACTCTGTACTTCACTGTTATTACCACTGCGCTGTAACATTTTGCCACCTTAACGTCTTAGGCCGAGTGTTATTTACCCCTGTTTAAGGATCTTTAAAAAAAGGATACAAACGAATTTCAGTGCCACTCCTTATATAAACAAATGTTTGGGTCTATAATGAACGTATAATGAACGGGGTACTAACTGGCTCAGCAGTTCAGACAACTCACCTTCTTCATGATGCCCGTCTTTCTCTTGCTGAAAGTTGTGTATCGCCGCAACTTGTTGTCTATGAACTCCATCTTAATCTTGACGCGTCCACGTGTTTTCTTGCCTGGCTTTGCTCCAGCCACACCGCCGGCCACCACACCGTAACCCCCCGGGGGCATTCCGGCCTCCTGGCCGGCCACGGCGCTTTCCATCTCGGCCCTCTCCCGCTTCACCCCCCTCCTGCTGTCCCCGGCCATGGGCTCGTCTTCATCCGCGGAATCAGAGTCCGCGTCAGAGGCGCTGCACGCCTGAGGAGCCCCTTCTTTATCCCGGTCAAACCTGCCATGAATTCCCACTATCCCTGCGCCCAGAACCCCCATACCTGCCTGGCCACCGCCAGCCTGCAGAGCGCTAAGCCCGGTGCCGCCGTTCCCGGCTCTGATGCCGCCTCTGCCGGGCCCGTTACCCCCCAGCATCCCCGCGGGAGCACCGACGAAAGGACCGACGTTCACACCGGCTACCGCTTGACCGCCTGTCCGTGCCAGCCCCGGCCGAAGCCCGCCGCTGCCCACCACCACAGCCCCGTGTGCCGCGCTGTTCCCTGCCGCTGACCCGTTTCCACTCAACGCCGAGCCAGCCTGGCTGGATAACATCCTACTCAGGAGAGAAAACGGAACGACGCTACCAAAACTGCCAGTCAGCCTGCGGTGGGCGAGTGTGTGGTCAAACCGTAATGCAGACACATTCAACAAAACCACCATAAAGACAAACCCGAGCACACATACACACTCTCTCTCTCTCAGGATGAGCCGGGTATGCCTGCGTGACTACCAATGCGAAGTTTCCAAAGTGATGCTGCCCCCTCCGAGCCCCTTCGACCCGCTTCAGGCTCGCATCGCCCCCCTGCTTTCCACAACTCACCGTGCACTTTCTCTAAAAGGAAAACGCGAAGAGCGCACTCGCGATTAATCCGCCATGTCATGTAGTTCACACCGTAAACGCGTAAAATGTCGACCACGGTCAGCAGAAACGCACGACCGCCGCAGTGGTATCCCACAACTTTCCACCAAAAAGACGTTTTCACGCAAAATCATGAACGTTTTATGCCCTTATAACTGTGTAATATTCTGCCGACAGTGGACTAATCCATCCGTACAGATCTACTTTCCTCCATATAAAGAGATACAACGCTTCCTTTTAAGGAGTTGTCTCTCCTTATTTGGTGAGTCACAGTGACGCCCTCCGATTGGTTAGCGAAGGAAAGGCTTAGCCCGCCATTGGTCAAAGAGGGAGGCTCATTTGAATAAATACCAAAACGGTTGCGCTCACGCCGACGTCATCGCGAGGGGGGGGGACTCCACATAGTCTGTTGGTCATAAATTATTTTGGAATACGAATGACAGACAGACCGAGAAGTAAATATGCTCATCAACAGGCCCCACGTGCACTTCAGAACATTTTAACACTCGTCATTCTTTGAAGCTCTGCCAATATAAAGGCAATTTGTGGCTTGTTTTTTTTAAAGAGCATTTAATAACCACATTAGAAAAAATTACACATTTTATCTCTGCTTTTTATAAAGCATTAAATATCATTTAACAAACGCACACACAGCCTTTAACACATTGTAATAGACTACAATAGCAGTGCAACTAGTTCCCATGGAAACTGTTGTAAAGATGCATTAGGTTGAGATAATGTCTACATAAGTGGAGTGAAATAAATATTCATTGAATATTTCATTGAGAGATTTAATGAGCTGCTGTATGCTAATGACCCAGTCTCTCACAAAAGAAAGAAGAAACTCAATCAGCATCTTTTGGCTGTCTACCTCAGCTGAGGCCTGGTATGACAGTGTAAAGCAGGCCAAAGTTAACGCTTTTTGACTACACTTTATTTTGTCTTACTATAATTCAGCTGTGCATGAGCCTGAACCCTGCAGGTGATCAGTGGCGTAAATATGGGCAAAGGGGCCCACTGCAAACAGGGCCTGTGGTTACCAGCCCTCTCTATTGGACTTCTTATATGCCACAGCTAAACACAAAATTAATATATTACAACCATTAGCTTGTATATGAGGACCAACTTGGTTGAGCAACAGCAATTAATCAAACAAATTTCACTTTTTATTCACTGAAGGGTTTTTTCATAGGGGGTGAGGGACATTTTTTTTTTGCACTGAGGCCTTAAGATCCTAGTTACACCCCTAAAATCGATGTGTTTGTGCTACAATTCATTGTGAATAGAACTCTGATTTCTTGTATATGTGATATTTTGTTACTCAAAAAACTATAATGAATGCATCATATAAGAAAGTATATAGATTACTGACACACTCGTGTCTGCCACTCTTAAAAGGCAGAAAAGGAGGTTTGAACCACCTTTTGATTGTATAATCTGGAACGTGGCCATGTTAACAAAGAACAAAAGACAAGCCTACTATGAAGTGCATTATTCATTCTTAGGTGAGAGGGAGAAACACGAAGTGCTGCGTGTGAGAGGACAGAGCTGTATTTCCATGGCAAAAGATGTAGGACTCACAAAGCGCTCCCACACCAGCGAAGAACACCTACTGATGACTCAGTAAACAGCAGAAAAAAAGCTGTCCAGTACACTGCCAGCCTTTTATGGTGGGAACCAGATATTGTCACATTAAAGAGGGCCAGTGATACAAGCATACCAAATAATAATGAAGTAGGGCTTAGCCCCAGCTGTGGAAAGTATGAAAATGGCCAAAAACAGCACTAGAAAGCATTCCTCAGTAACACACTGGAGAGATGACAAAAACAACCGAATAGCTGATTAGAGGCCTAATGTCAGTTGATTAGCTTAGAATCACATGGGCATAATACAAGAACAACCCACAGTGCCCTCTACCTGCAGATCAAAGCAGTGCACTGGATGGGGAACTGATCCAGAAGAGTCACCCATACCTGTAGTCTCACCACGATGTCAGCTGTGCAATGGAAAGTGGCAGCAATTCCATTAGAGTAAAAGTTCTTTTCACTTCAGTAAAACCAAACTGGCCGTTACAAACGTGAATGTTTAATGGGAGCAGCATACATTGTGATTATTGTGACCTTTGCTAAAGTAGAATAACAAAAAAAGCATTCTAGGTGTGAGTGCCTAGCATGTACTTACTTCTTAAAAAAGGCATGGACTATGTATTTGTTCACAGAAATGAACAAACAAACAGTTAACATTATAACAAAAGGTTATATAGAAAACAATTCATTAAAACCAAGAGGCAACGGTATGGAAAGCAAATTGTACAAATAAAAAAAAACAAAAAACACAGTAAATAATCCTTCATGTCCTAGGCACTTGTGGTCTTAACAGTTGATAGTGACCACTGAAACGTCCACTTACCCAACAGGTCCGCCTACAACACTTGCCAAACTGCAAAATGAGTTGTTATAATGGGTTGAATATATATGTCTGTATAAAAGGATCACGGAGTACCTTTCCATTAAAAAAAGGTGTATAAAAAAACAACAACAAAAAGACAGAACCTTCAACATAAATAAAGGCTCTCGTACATCCTTCTATGTTAAAGTAATAAGCTATTATATAAAATGACATTTTAAGTGAAATTAGTGCACGGTCTCTGTATTAATGAGTGTAACAAGGACTTTGCCAAGCAAGTACTGTAATTACAGTGATGTGGTTATAAAACGCCGCTATGCAGGAATACATTGTTCATCATGGCTTTAGGAGTTTAGGCAATAAGATGTATTGCAAGTTGTCTCCATTGGAATATTCTTGTCCCATATGAGCACCTCAAGGTAAAAATAAAAAAGGTAAATATTAAAAATTTTTAAGTACAATCGTGATAAAAACACTCACTCCCCTTACACCCACATACACACAAAACTTTCACGGTACGGACTCACTGACTGATTGAGTATTCTGATTTAAAAATTCATCCTGTACTGTTTCTGTTTATCTTTCCACCCTCAGAGAATCCAGAGCTTAGAGTCATAAATAACAGGCCATCACCCTTCATGGCAAACCTGATCCACAACTCTAAATAAAAAGAACAAACAAAAAAAAAGCTTCACAAGCACACACACACACACACACACACACACACACACACACACACACATCCTGAAACAAAACAAATATGCACGGCAACTTCAAGTCCTTGAGCCAAGCATTAGCACATCGTTGAGTCCAGCATTGCCAGTGGCCCTGTGGCCAGCTGGAGGGTTTTCGCCCCTGATGTTGATGTGTTGGGATTGTCCTGCGCTGGCAGAGGTGAACAGTTGAGGTCAAAAGTCGTACCCCTCGCAGAGGTAGCTCCTAGAAGTGTCCGAGGCTCCAGAGACGAAGAAGAGGAAGAATCTCAGGGTAGAAGAGACGCAAAACGAAGATCAAAAAAGTAAACAGGCCATCGAAGGGGCAACAGGGTGTCCTTTCATGCCATGGTTAAGGCAAATAAAACTCTTCAGGGTCCTCACACTCACACTCGCACACACACACACACACACACACACACACAAATCAATACCGACAGATTGCCCTGATATCAACTTCTCCATTCGTTACTCACACACTCTTGCTCCCTGAAATGTGTGGGACCCAGTCTGAGTCTGTGATTGTATCAGAGCAGAAATGGACAGGTTTAGCTCCACCAGTGCAGGTGGAATGAGTCGCACATGTGCTCCTCACACCTTGCTGTCCAGAGGAATGTCCCCCAGGGCCTGGACCAGCTCACTGAAAGATGGCCGCTCTTTAAGGCTGGGAGCCCAGCAGCGAGTCATCAGTTTGTAGACTTTAGAAGGACAGGTCTCGGGAGCAGAAAGCTTCAGAGTTCCAGCCTGAAGACCTGTTACACAGAAGAACAGAAAGAAGGTTAGAAACACATGAAGTGCTCAGAGGCTTCCTATCCATTATTATTAGTTCTCAATAAAACAGTGATTTGAATAAATATGGAAATATAATTTTTAAGTATATGTTACGCTGAATGTGATACTTCATTGATGCTTTTTTTCAAAGAATACTGGTCATTAACCAAGGAAGAGCCAGGAGTTACCTGTCACTCATGGGATTTAAACTCACAACCTTCTGATTGTTGCCTCACTTCTCCTACCACTAGACTACCAGCCATCACTAATCCAGAAAATACTGATAACCTTCAAGAGGTCTGAACATTGTGAACATAGCATGTAAAAGTTATGCTCCATCATTGACACACAGCCAGATGTGAGTGTGTTCTCACCTTCCAGCACCTCCTCGTGGCTGAGTGTTGAGTAGGGCAGCTCTCCGTGGCTGAACACTTCCCACATCAGCACACCGAAAGCCCACACATCAGATTTGGTGGAAAAGTCGTCATCAACGACAGACTCAGTGGGGAGCCAGCGCAATGGGATCCATTTCTGCCTGTAGTGGTAATACTCACTGTGCACAGAGAGAGAGAGAGAGAGAGAGAGAGAGAGAGAGACGAGAGAGAGAGAGAGAGAGAGAGAGAGAGAGAGAGAGAGAGAGACATGACAGAAAACATACTGTTGCTTCATTGCCAAATGTTGCAATTCAGTATTTCAGCACATGATGGCACTCATGGTGTACATTTCACTCAACACTGGGTTGTGTTTAATCTATCCACATCCACTTGTTCCGTAGCTTTCTCTTTTCTTCAACCTATAAGGGTGCATTTACATTTGTAGTCCGGTTCTCTTGGTGTAGACCAAAGCTGAAACTGATACACTGTTGCATTTTAGTTCTGTTTTGATGGTTAGATGTAAACAAAAGTTATGTGGCCAAAAAAGTAAAAAGTGGTGGGCAGACTTTACGACGCTTTATGACATTCACATATTTAGTGACATTAACTGGGATAATGACCCAACAAACTATCCGAACCATGCTGCAATAAGCCACTAGTGGCCATGTGATACTGTTACTTTACCATGTTACTATTACTTTCCCAATGGGCTGTTTTTCATACTTCAAACAAACTACACCAGAGCACTCAATGTCCCATGGCAGCATTCTCACTTATTTTAGTTAACCGCACTAACAGAGCAACCGCAACATTGTTCGTTTCAATCAAACAAAATCTGCCAAGTGTAAACATGGCCTAAGATACTGTATATACTTTTAAAGAATGCAGAGACAAAATAAGCCACAGTAAAACTGTTTTCCTGGTGTTGACTGCGGTATACCTGCTGTGTGTGTTGTAGTGTACATATTCTGTGTATGTGTTGTGATGTACTTAATGTGTGTGTGTATGTGTGTGTAATGCGGTGTACTTAATGTATGTGTGAGTGTGTGTGTGTGTGTGTGTGTGTGTGTGTGTATGTGTGTGATGTGGTGTACTTAATGTGTGTGTGGTCATGTGTGTTGTGGTGTACCTATTGTGTGTGGGGGGGCATGTGTGTTGTGGTGTACCTATTGTGTGTGTGGTCATGTGTGATGTGGTGTACCTATTGTGTGTGGGGGGGCATGTGTGTTGTGGTGTACCTATTGTGTTACCTGTTATAGACGTCCTTGCTCAGGCCGAGTGCAGACACTTTGACTTGTCTCTGGCCGCTGATTAGGCAGTTCCGTGCTGCCAGGTCTTTGTGCACAAAGCGCTGGTTAGACAGGTGCTCCATCCCCGCAGCTACCTGCGCACAGATGGACACCTGAAGAACAAGAGAGGGATGGAGACAGAAAGAGGGATGTGAGAGGACCAATCACTGACCGAATACCACCTCTTGAATATGACCAGTTTTCATTTATGTTGGCTGTTATGAAATAAAGGCAAAGAATGTGCTTACTTTTGTTTTGGTGCTGATGGGCTGTGGTTTGAGTTTTTCATCTTTGCTTTTTGATATTCTCAAGAATTGCTTGAGATCGCCCTGAAAAAAAGAGAGAAAAAGACATGCAATACATATTACAATATTTTTACAATCAGTTTTAACTGACTGTCGATATTTTAACCAGAGATCCAAGGAAAAATTTGGAATGCACGCCTATACAAAAGACCCCATATTAAAATAAGCGTTATCTGGATATCATAGTGAGATAGTAATGTGTTCATCCTAGCTCTAAATCTGATCAGATCTGGTGAACCACCTCTAGAATTGGACAGGCTTGAGCGGACTTTGTCCCTGTATATTGCAAACAGAATCCACCCAAATTTAGAAAATTTGGCAAGTGACTCCAACAGTATCCAACAATAGCTCACTGACGTGATGTAGGGGTAAGTGAGATCTAATTGCTATACACTGCAGATAGAAAGTGGCAAAGAAGAAATCATTTTAATGTCGTGTGTAATTAAAAGTACTAATTGTGTTCTTGCTAATGCAAACACAAAGAGGTTTGCACATACAATAATGATCTGCAGCATGCCACCTGCCTTTTGAAAGAATACTAGAAAATGACAGTGTTGAAATGGTCTGTTTGAAATAAATGACATTTGGTTCGACATTTTGTTTCCTAACACAATGAACTTAACACATTTAAAAGTATGGCGCAAATGTCCAAATACTTTTTAGGGCTGCTGTAATATATAGCAATATGTAATAATAACCATTCACTTGTTGTGTCACAATGTGTGCATAACCTATTTACCCTGCTAAAGGAAGAGGAAAACCAATAAGTCACATGACAAACAAGAAATCTTTAAGACCATTTTTAACAGGAAAGCCAAAAGAAAGTAAGCCCCCAGCTAAGAGAAAATTCCCCCTGGTATAAATAGGTTTCAGTAATGGTTGCACACTCATTGTGGAATTTAACTTACTATAAATATGAAAGAACTTGACTATTAATTATAACTTGATAATTTTTATTATTTACAATGATTAAAAGCTTATAATGCACAGTCACTCACTATAAAGGTATATATATATATATATATATATATATATATATATATAGAGAGAGAGAGAGAGAGAGAGAGAGAGAGAGAGGAGAGGGAGAGGGAGAGAGAGAGAGAGAGAGAGAGAGAGAAATGACACAAAAAATGTATTTGAAAATTTCTAATTGGATTGTCTTGGTGAAATGTTTTTTTTTACCAGGTCCACATATTCCAGAATGATGTAGTGTGGTTCAGTGTCTCTGCACAGGCCGAGCAGGCGGACAATGTTGGGATGGCTGAGCTTGCTGAACATTTCGACTTGCCGCTTGAACTCAGCCTGCGAGAGCTCATCTCTGCTCTGCAGACTCTTCACCAGCACCACCGTTTCCTCCTCCCCCTCCTCAATCCCGCGTGCTTTAGCCAAGAACACATCCCCAAACTCCCCTTTACCTGCACACGCACACACCAGCAAAGGTCAAACACAGAGTCAGACGGGTGAAATGATTAGCTTAACTGTAGTGCAACTATGTGAGTCTAAGACTGGAGCCAGTGTACACATGCATGTGTTTGGGGCGTATTAGAGATACACTTTACCCAGAGTAGTGATGGTTTGCAAGTCTGCTCTGGGAAAGTGGAGCTTGTCAGTATTGCTGTGCCGTTTCTCAGTGGTTGCCATGGTCCCCAGATTGGTGAGGGCCACTTCTTCCTGGATCTCAGCCGTAGTTTGACCGTTCTGCTGCACAGCCTCTCCTAGCGGGCAACAGAGAGAAACACAAGTTACTTCATTATTTTACCTCAGTGGTCAAAAACGCTTGTCCTACTCTACCTTCTCGTAGAGTCTAGCTCCAACCATCATTTGCCACACCTGCTCCAACTAATTAATTTCTACACACGTCTGTGTTTTTCTGGACCAGATGCATTGGTGTTAGGCAAGAGAGAGGGGCTGCAGGTTATACCTAAACTGGAGCTAAACTGTGCAGGAAAGCACACCTCCAGGAGGAGGGCCACTGACCACCGCTTTGCCTCATTAAAAATTGTGTTTAGTGTGTCCCTGAGTTCCTGTTTTCTATCACTGTATAAAAGAAGCGAGATGCTGCCCTTATTGTTGGATGCAGTGTGATAGTTTCTGAGCGAGCTTGCACACACATTCAGAACAGAATTCAGACTGATAATGGCTTATTATTCATTTGTTTCGTAGGGGTAATGATAAAAGGTGACTAAGGGGTGTAATCGTATGCACCAACATAAGAGAATAAACAGAATGCGACTAAGAATGAGAAGCAATAAAAAAAGGAAGCAAAGAAAAAAAAGTAAAATATTGAAAATAATTTATATACAAACAATACAAAACACATAAAATAAGGAATTGGAGCTCAGAAAAAAGCTACAGTTAAAAGTGCTAAATGAGGATGCTTGCTGTATGTCTTATGGGACAAAGTTTCACAGATGGGGAGCGTATATGCTAAAAGCAGCCTCACCACTTCTTGTGCATTTTTGCTCTTGGAACAGAAAGTAATCCTATGTTTGATGATCTCAGACATCATTGTGGAGCATGTTCAGTAGCACAATCTGACATAAAACATGGTGCAACAAGGTGTGTAAAAATTCTTGCCCCTGAATTTGGTACAAACACCAATTTGTCTGTACTCTTTTTGGGTAAGGTAGTGAACAGCGAGGTAGAATAATCCAGTAAACAAAATGCAATTCTTTATATTAGAAATCATGTCATTAAAAGAGAAGATAGATTAAAAGATAGGAATAGCTGCAGTTCTGCCTCAGCCTTAAAAAGGATAACTAGTTTGTATCACCTACATTGTTTCTGGGCATGTAGGCAGATGGAGTAAAGTGCATAAAACATTACTAGCTATATCAGTATGACTGCCTACCTGTGTATCAATGGCATAGGGGTTTGAAGGATCTGCTGTATTATGTATTATGTTTTATGTGTAATATTATGTTCAGTATTATGTGTTTTAATATGTACGTGATCTGTGATTGTTTTATGTGAGCTGTACCTGAGAGGACAATGGGAAGACATTGTGAACAGTTAGTCCAGGCTTTCTATGTACAGGTTAGGAACAGGTGTTGCTTCTGTACCTAATTTGGCAATGTTCCAGGCAATAATGTGCCTGAGCCAGCCTATACAAGCACGACCATTTTCTACATCAGGGGTCAGCATGGCGTCTGTGAAGCGTACGCACAATGAAGAAATAAAGATCAATGCTACAGATGCAAGGCTGGCCTGCTGGTGCTGGTTCTTATGAGAAAGAGGGGATGTAAAAAAATTCTACAGCGTTCTCAATATGTACTGTTTATTGCACTGCTAAATCAAATTAGAAACGCAAACCAGCTTTCAGAAGCTTAATGTCTTTGAATAGACCATCTCGCTTCTTGTCTTTAATCCTGGGCTTGGAGATGCCCTTGAATATCTCTCTCCAGATCTCTGCTTAGTGACAACTCCACTTCTAATTAAAGGCAACAAAGTGGTCATTATGTAAGGATTAGGAGAATAAATGCTGCTAAAAAGCCAGATAGCTAGATTTTATGTACATCCTCCTAATAAAAGTCGCTGCAGTGTAGCTGCCCAAAGGTCTTAATCCTGCCAAATGGAAGCAAAAAGCTCTCACAACCTCTTGCCAAGAGCAAAAGCATAAATGCTCTTAATTAGTGTTGATCACAGCTTGTGAATGATTTTGGCTGTTCTGCCATTATGCAACCACTAGATGGCAGCAGGTCACATGTTTAAACATGCTAAGACTCCAAGTGGAGCAATCTGCTATTAAAACACTGAGAGAATTTCACTGATTAGATAATGTTGCTTTTCATCAGATGTTTCCTGGAGGTCTTAAACATCTGTGTATTAAAATCAGATGTATTAAATTAGACTAGAACTGAGCCCTGCAGGACAGCAGATCTCTAGAAGCTTGGGTAGCACCTGTGCTACATCTCATCTCCTACATTCCCACTTCACACACATCCCTCACTCTCACACACACACCATTAAGGCACTCCATCTCCGGCTCCTCCCCGTCCTGTCCCTTCTGCAGTCTTTTGGCATTGCGTCTCTGCTTGCAGTAAAACATAAGGCCCAGCACGGCGATGATGTAAGCGACGGCTGCCCCCACAGACAGGCCGATGGTCTGGATCATCTTGTATGGCGTCTTCCCCTCGTCTTCATCGTTGGTGCGCTTTGGCCTCTCTGTGCAGGAGCAGAAGCAAAGAAGAGTACTTCAGTGTGTAACTGCAGAGATTTTTCCAATATTCTCAGTGAAAAGATACGACACCAGGGTCCTTAAACTCAAATCCTACAAAGCTACAATAACGCCCAGCTTTGTGTTTTACCTGCCCTCACATACCTGATGCAACTTGAGAAGTAAAGCCTTGTGAGGAGTGAGGAGGTATTGCTGCTGTTTTGCTATATTATCATCAAGTAAGAAATAGTTCGTACTAAATTACACAATGCTTTGTTATAGCTGGTGATAACTGTGACTTTTAAGAATTAACAATGGATGGATGTCAAGAATGGATGTCAAGCAACTTCCTTTTACTAAATTCGGACAAAACCGAACCTACGTTTACTCTTAATCTCGATAGTTTCTCAATTGCACCAGGCACATCTGTAAAAAGTCTTGGTGTCACGATTGATCCCAGTCTGGCCTTCGATGAGCATATTACCAATATTACCAGAATAGCTTTCCTCCACCTGCGTAACATCGCTAAATTAAGAAATGCACTGTCGCTACAGGATGCAGAAACGTTAGTTCACGCCTTCATCACGTCCAGGTTAGATTACTGTAACGCTCTGCTTTCTGGCTGTTCCAGCCAAAACCTTAACAAGCTTCAGTTAGTCCAGAACGCTGCAGCCAGAGTTCTCAGCAAAACCAGGAAATTCGACCACATTAGCCCAATTTTGTGTACCTTACATTGGTAGCCAGTTAAATTCCGTATTGAGTACAAGAGTCTTCTGCTGACGTATAAAGCTTTGAATGGCCTTGCTCCTCAGTACCTCAGTGACCTTATTTCCTATTATCAACCGACACGCCCACTTAGATCACAAGGTGCGGGCTCATTATTAGTACCCAGAATAAATAAAGTTACGTCAGGGGGAAGAGCCTTTTCATACAAAGCCCCCCAGCTTTGGAATAACCTACCAGTCTGTGTTCAGGACTCAGACACAGCCTCCATCTTTAAGTCTAGGCTAAAAACTTACCTGTTTAGTCGAGCTTTTGGTTAATTTGTTTTTCTCACTATGTCCCTCTCAAAAGTGCTAAAAGTTTTTTTTAAGTAGAAAACTTTGATAAAGTATGTAACCATTGTTAAAGTTTCAAAACAGCCCATTTCGATTCCCTTTTTTGGATGTCAGAAAGAAACAATACTTGTTTACATACAGCACTGTGCAAAAGTCTTAGGCACCTAAGCACCATTTTTAAAACCAATTATCTTGCCAATATGTGTATAGTAAAAACACCATATGTCACTGGAATAAATTAAAATAAATATATTACAAAAAAAAAAATAATTTTGCATTTTGAAATAGATTTGGAGAAATAAATGATGACATTTTGGTAATTAAAATCACTCAACCGCACAAATGTTATAAGCTGACCTTATGGACAAAAACGTAAGCTTTGACCATTTAATGTCACATGTAATTAGAAGTAGGACATGATTTTTCCAGGTCTACATATGCCAGAATAATGCAGTGGGTTCTGTGTTTCTGCAGAGGCTCAGCAGGCGAACGATGTGGGAGTGATTCAGCTGTATTCAGTCTAAAGGGAACACAGTTCACTGTAACTAAAAATCAGTCCCAAATGCTATTAGAGAGAACCAAAAGCTTTGCCAAAAGACACCTCTGTTTTCCAGAGTGATGCTGGCAGCCCGTCTGATTGTGATTGGAGTCCTGTGATGTGAAGGAATCCACAAAAAGCCTTTTCAAGTTAGGAGGTCACATGACTCCACAGAACGGCTGCACTGTGTTTAATTTCATTTGCTAAATTCAGCTTGATTAAGTTAAAGTCACTTGAATGAGTCAAGGAGTTAGGTGAGGCAGGGTCAGGTGAAAGAGACTGGGAACGTTGGTTTGAGGCTTTGTCAGGAGTCTGAAGTGCGTGTCCTGGACTGAAGGGACTGAATGGTCATATGATGCGTATATTTAGTGCACCTTAAGTTGCTTTCAAGTTACTGCTTTAGTAGGCTAGTCTTAAGGGGTCCACTGTTACACAATGAACAAAATAAAGTGACAAATAAAAAATAAAAAATAAAGATAAATGTAAAGTAAGAAGAAGGGTTTGTGTCTGCATGTGTGCATTAATACACACTTACCCACAACATAGAGTTGTGCCACACTGTCTCTGATACTGCAGCTGTTGCCAGCAATACATGTGTACTTCCCTGTGTCATCAGTAGTGACATCACTGATAACTAGAGAACCATTGGGCATCTTTTGGAACCTGAGGGAGAGAGAAAGAAGTTCATGAAGGGCTTGGTAATGAATGAATTTGGTCTCTAAGAGTAGGAAAGCTAAGAAACTGCCTCAGGACTGGAGATACTTTGCTTTGGTCAGTATTAATACTTAAAAATCAAGTAGAGAACAGCATGATATTGACCACAGCGACAGGGCTATCACCATCGCATGCCTTTATGGCACTCTAGGCAAAGCAAAACTGAGGCAACCCAGTACAGATTTGCGTCACAACCAGTAGCCAGCACCACACAAAAGCCACTGTCCAACACACACACACAAATTAAATACTATAGTTCTAGCATACTCACACTGAACACTCATTAAATAGGCAAAAAAGACCCCAAACAAGACTGTATAATCTCTCTAATAAGACTACTTTATACCAATGCTACAACTGTAGGTACATTAGCTATTCAGGCTGTTAAATTCTCTGACTGTTTATCTGATCTCAATATGATAAAAAAGACAATGAAAGCATCTGACTATCTTTCAATAACAATGGTGGACCATTTGGAGCAATACATGGAGAACAGGTTCTCTTGACAACCTAATAGTGCTAAAAAGATGAATAGATAGAAGGCGAAAAAAATGCAAGGTACATTAAAATCGAAATAAAAGAGCAGCACTGTGCCTGTACTGTAGGGTACGTAAACGCATGATTATATACAGGATAACATTTAATGTTTCCCCTTAAACATTGTTAAACACTTCCAATGTTACTTAAGATAGCTCTGAAACAGCTTTCACTGTTCTCAATTTCCCTCTAAAGCTCGCTGGCATTTTGTGCTCATGTCACCCTCCTCCTCTTGAAACGTACAGGAAGAAGCAGGATTTATTCAAGAGAAGGCTGAATAATGCTACAGGGACACTGCCTGTTGTGTCATGTTTTCTACCAATAGCTTCATGTTAATTTCATTTCATTATTTGTTTTAGCTACATAACACTCAAACCAGTGAGCTGGAAAAGAAAGTTAGCTAACTTAGCCAAGTACCTTGGAGCAGATGTGTTGCATGTGATTTTCTTCACAGGTTTAACCGCTGATGCAGTCCTCCACACTGTTTAATCCACATCCTACACCTCACCTCTTGTGTCTTTGGTTTAGGAAATGGATAAAATTTCACTCCTCCCTCCCAACTTTTCAAATATCAGGTATCAGATTTACCCCCTCAGAAGCGTCCCTGCATACAATGCTACAGTAAACTGTAAAGTTCTGAAAGCTTGTCAGAGGTGCCAATGCCTATTTAAAGCTGCTCAGCTACGATCAGACAATCGGTGGGTGTTTGGGGCGGGTTTTAGTGAAGGGTGGGAGCAGGAGCAGAGGCGGCCTGAACAGCGCCTGACACATTTCTCAGCCAATCATTGGGCTCACAGAGTACATTCACAGAGAATTTGGAAAAAAATATGTACGAATTCTATTCCAAAAAAAGTTGAAACAGTCTGAGAAAAGAAATAAACGTGCAAGCTGGGACAGGAGCATGTTTACAACTATGTTACATCACCTTTCTTTTTAACAACACTTAATAATAGTTTGGGGACTGAAGACACAAACTGATCCAGTTTTAAAAGTGTATTTTTTTGCCATTGTTCTCTGCAACCACAGAGGGTCTTTGTTGTTGTATTTTGAGCTTAATCAGACACAAGTTCTCACTGGGAGATAGTAATGGACTGTGGGCATGCCAATCTAGCACCTAGCAATTTCAGAATGAGCGCATATTCCCAAACAACAATGAAGTTGGTAAGATAAAACATTAGATATCTACCTACTGTATGGGACCTACTGTCCCAACTTTTTTGGGAATTGGGTTTGTATTCTGCAATGATGAGATGAGAATAATTTGGTACATTTGGCTGTCCTTGCTTAAGTGTGGCTATAGGCAATTGCCTGGTTTACTTACATGAATGCGCTGGCCCAGCACAGAGAGAGCAATAAGAGAATAAAATAAAATGTAAAAGAGAGTGGGACAGACCTGCCGGAGCTGACAGGAAGGACCTTGTCTTTGACCATCCACTGGATGTAGGGCTGGGGTTCTCCTGTAGCCTGGCAGTGCAGCATGGCTGTGTGGCCCTGGTATACTGTGGTGTATTCTGGTTCCAGCTTAAACTCTATATAGACTGGGGGGATAATAATAACATTAATCATAGAAAATAACTATTATGCAACACAGAGAAAATTATTTAAAGATGCTTGCATTACATGCGACAGAGAGCTGAGTCATTACTATAGGACTTCTCTTGCCTTTCAGCTAGAGTGGCTTTCTTCAATCACCATGGCTTTAGTGTGAGTAATGAAAGTATTACAGAGGACAAAATAATTCTAATACTTGTTCTTTGATAACCACTAAGAAGGTTAGCAATGCTAATTACATTAGAGGGCAAGCCTTCCATTTCTGTAAGTGGCATCTCCACAAATATACACAATAGCAAAACTCACCTCCTACAGTGAGGGAGACGTAGGCTTTGATTTCTCCCTGCATGCTGTTATTGGCCACACAGGTGTAATTCCCTGCATCACTCCGCACCACCTTATCAAAGTGCAAAGCCCCATTCACCTGATTCACATGAGAGGGAACAGCACTGCCATCTACAGAAAAAAGAGAGAGAGAGAGAGAGAGCGAGAGCGAGAGAGAGCGAGAGAGAGAGAGCGAGAGAGAGAGAGAGAGAGAGAGAGAGAGAGAGAGGAGCAGAATTACATTCAACCTTAACTTCCAAGACACTGTAAAACCTGCACAAGTGATGACGAGGCATGTTTTATCATTATTATTTTCTTCTGAATTTGTAACAATGCAGGATTTATTAGCTTCTTCATTTGCACGGAACAGGCATAACCAATCAGCACCACCCATGTGTCTCTCACCTGCTTTGGTCCAGCGTATAGTGGGAGTCTCTCGGCCCTTAGCAGAACACTGGACACTGGCTTTTTTGTGAAGCTGCAGACACTGAGAAGACTGGGGAGTAGGGGTGAACTTCAGCTTCTCTGAAACACACAAACAAAGAGCACATCACACACATTTACAGTACATACGCATATATATACATAAACGTGTTTGAAGAAATCGTTTATACAGAAACTTCTGGATTAGAGAATAACAGAGAGCATTTTCACAGAGTGCCATGAGAAGAAGTCAGACACAGAAACAACACCCGGATGTCAAATATCTGGAATATGAAATGAGAAGGTCATGTCTCCACAAAAGTAAAGTGATAATAGGATAATACTGTGTATTGGGCTGCTATTAACAGCAGACATTTCATGTCTGTACCCTGCATCAACCAGAGTACTCGTTTACCTAGTACGGAGACCCTGGCCTGCCCAGTCAGGACACCTCCCACAGTCTTGCACTGGCAGCTATAGACCACTCCATCATACACCTCCACACTGTTTATCCTCAGAGTCCCATTAGGAAACACCTTAAATCGAAAGTCCTGCAGACAGATCAGATAGATGATTATTACTACTATTAACAATACTAATATCCAAAATATCAACTGCTACTACTGGTAACACCTATCTGAATCCTGATGTATTAAGCTGACATAACCATTGCATAAACATGTCATGGCACATATTATATTCTGTCATCACAGATTATGTCCAGTAATATCAGTGCCATGCTACCATTACCAGCAAACGTCAAGCCATATGTCAATGTTTGAAGTCATGACGGCTCACCAGAGAACACGGCACAAATCAGCATGTGACATAAATTGTCATGACATCAGTCATTATTATCTGCTCTGGCAATTAGTTACCACCAGTGGTAACATGACTCTGTTATCATGGCAACTCATGACAGCCTATGACATCTGCCATGATGTGTTTATGGCACTGTTATGTTTAAACATTTTATGTTTAACATATTTAATATGACATGGAATTTTCCTTCAGATGAGGATCCTGACCTCCTCACTGATCTCCTGCAGGTTCCTGTACCAAGTGACATGGGCTGAAGGCGTGGTTTGGACGTGGCAGTGAAGGTACCCTGGCTGCCCCTCCTCCATGGAAGTGTTCTGAGGCCTATTGGTCCACTCTGGGGGACCTTAGAGAAAGAAGGGTTGTATGTTTATTATTTTTATTGGTTTCATGGCAGTACAAACCGCAATTACGCCTAGCATTATGAGGTTAGTTGCTGCAGTGATCAGTCAATACAGGTGATTAACTGTCAACGTCACTGATTATGGAAAAAGGTCTATGTAATCATAGAAATACTTGTGTCATTATCAAAGTGGAAAATCGAGTGATAATAGTTTGTACTCACCAGCCACAATCACGGTGACTTCCTGCTTTCTCTGACCTGCCTTGTTTTGGGCCACACAGGTGTATGCACCCGAGTCTCCACCTTCAGTGGGGTTAAAGATCAGGTCCAGACCCTGCTGATGCACTCGTCCCTCAGAGGGCACTCTCTCACCTCCCGACTCCCACCACACCTCTGGCAATGGACGGCCCCGCGGCGGCTCACATGTCACCCTCTCCACACGGTTAGGAGAGAAAAACTTGGATAGCCTGCCCCCCATCTCTTCTATCTCTACAGGAGGACAGAAAGAAGGAGGAGAAAGGGTGGAAGAAAGATAGGAAAAGAGTGAAAAATCAAAAGAGAAGCAAGGATACAGACATGTGATGGCACTTCAACCCACCAAAGCAGATTTACAAACAATGCTTTGTATATATATATATATATATATATATATATATATATATATATATATATATATATATATATAAAACTGTAGTTGCAAAATGTCACCCCTAAATACGTTATTAATTCTGGTATGGAATAATTCAATTTGACAAACAGAAAGATTAGACAGGGATTAGGTAAATTAGTGCAGTTTAAATGGCTCTGAGTGGGCACTACAGACTTCTCATGAAGTGCACTCTTCAGCCTGTTAGTGGTGGGCTTACTGCACTAACATGTTCAGGGAGCACTTACAGAGTCAGTAAATGTGGCAGAGCTCTGTTAGCAGGATGCTGTGTGTAAACAGGCAATAAAAAAATCGGATTGTTTTTGCCAGAAAATCCCAACTCATGTTCAGCACTGCCTGAAGTTTGTAAGTTTAAAGGAATACTCTAGTGTTTCTCAACCTAATCTCAAATCTGCCACATCTGTAGCATCTGGTCGATTACCACAGACAATAATTTTGATGAATTTCTTTTCTTTTACTAAGTACATGTCAACCGTGTGCTACTGATGTGGCAGATATAATTTAGGTTGAAAGATTCTGGAATTCTCTTTAAAGCAATAAACAGCACAAAAATCCAGCACTGATATAACAAATAAACTTGTAGCATAAGACTTCATCTCAAAGACATACTGATCTGGAGGTGGGATGAGCTGACAGCTCTTCAGCTGTTCATGACTGAGATGAAAATCGTAGTGAAAAAAAGGGCAGACGCATAGCGTTTTCTGGGTTTGTTTTTTGTGCAATTACTGGCACTTCTGGGCCAAAATAAATGAATAAATAAATAATATTAAAAACTTTTCATTGTGGTGACATATTGGACATGTATCTGATCTAGGACCATAAGTGAAAGTGACTGAAATCTTTGTCAAATTTAGGCAACATATTGGATTTATGCCCTTTCAACACTGCACTGCAAACACAGCTGTACAGAAGCACATGTGGGATGATGGGAGAAGTCTGTGTGTGCTTGCAGGGGGAGTGAAAACTGTGTGAAAAAGTGCATTTGTGAAGCGGGGGGTGCAGAGAGTGTGAGCAGTGCGTGATTGAGGAAATGTGTGGGAGAGTGTGTGTTGAGAGGCTCAGTGAGAACACTGTAGCTGAAGCAGATGCCAATAAAGCACTTAGCACATCAACAAAGACAGAGATTCTCTGTTCGTGAAAGGAGCTGTGTGTGTATGTGTGCATGTGTGTGTGTGAGAGAATGTGTTTGTGCTCTTACCTGCAATGTGCAAAGTAGCATCTGCATGCACCTGCTTATCAGCTCCATAACGAGCCAGACACCTGTACCGCCCTGTGCTCCGATTCTTCACCTGAGTGATCCGCAGAGTGCCGTTATTATACACCATCACCCTGTAACACACAAACACACACACAAATAAACGTACTGTCAACTCACAATATTACTTATTAACATATGCATAGCTGCATGACAGAATAGACTTGACAGATTACATGACAGAGCTTGTATCTTTTGAAATTAGAGAGTCAGGGAGGGACAAAGAGAGAGAGGGAGAGAGAGACGGAGAGAAACAGTGAGAGAAAACCAGGGAGAGACAGAAAGAGAGAGAGAGAGAGAGAGGAGAGAGAGAGAGAGAGAGAGAGAGAGAGAGAGAGAGAGAAAATGTGTGTGTTTTTTGGGTGATTAATAATAGCTAAATATTTCCCAAAAGACTTTTATGAACTAATAATAAATTCATTAGCTCATTCATCTCTGCAGGATAAAAGAAAGGAAAAAGGAAAGATAACAAAAGAAAAGATAAAATAAAGATAAAAAAGATAAAGGAAGAACAATGGCAACAAGAAAAAGAAAGAAAGTAAGAAAGAAAGAAAGAAAGAAAGAAAGACAAACAAATGCAGAAAAAGGAAAGACAGAACGAATAAAGGACAGAAAGAAAGAAAGAAAGAAAGAAAGAAAGAAAGAAAGAATAAAGGAAAGAAAGAAAGAAAGAAAGAAAGAAAGAAAGAAAGAAAGAAAGTTAAGTAATAGCTAAGTTTCTATCTGTGATTCTGTGCCAGAGTGTTGTAAGAGAAGTGCATCAAGCAGATGAGAGAGAGTGAAAGATGCACAGAGAAGGTGAGATGGAGGTAAGAAGGAGGCAGACAGGAGAGAGAGAGCTGGAGAGACGCAGAGAGATGTGTGAAAGCTCAGTGCAGGACTCAAAAGAATTCTGAAAATCTTCATGTTTACCGCAGAGTTGGTGCTTTAAAGCAGAACTTTTACAGGCGCACCCGTCGTTTCTGTTTGTACTACCTGTGCGATAACACCTTCACTTATTCTTTAATCCTCTCCGCTCCAAGCAACCTCCAAAACCCCTCTCCACAAATATGCAGCTGCAGTTCCAAAAGCAACAGAAAAATCTGAATCAAATTATCCTAATACATTCCCTCATGAGCTGCCCTGCACCAGCACTTAAAATACAGAGCTGAAACTGTGAGAAACAGTCAATTCATACAGAACTACACCATGAACGCACTAATACTGCTGTAGACAGAATAAACACAGACATATACACTCTCACACTTCAATATGTTCTCCTTAAGACCTTTAGAGCAAAGCATCTGACTGCTACAATAGAAGAGAAGAGAAGAGAATAGAACAGAACAAGGAGAAGAATAGAAACGAGAAGAGAAGAGGTAAAGAAGAGAAGAGGAAAAATGAGGCGAGTAGAGAAGAGAAGAGAAGCTGACCGTGTCTTGTTGACCACTGGCTCATCCTCATGGAGCCACTCTATGACAGGTGGAGGTTTGGCTGAGAACTGACAATGAAACACAGCCTCTTCATTCCTAAACACCACCTGATCCTCTGGAGCCAAAATCAGCCGAGGAATTGTCTTATCTGAAAAAGAGAGGAGAGAGAGGAGAGAGAAAGGAGAGAGAGAGAGAGAGAGAGAGAGAGAGAGAGATAACTAAAAGCAGTAGACATGAGATGTAACCAAAGCAATTGATGGAATCGTCTATTTAAGAAACATTAACTAACACACACACACACACACACACGCACGCACACACAGCTTTAATAAAGAATGTCGTATGGTGGATGAAAAGATAAAATGAACAGCAAATAAAAAAGTTGCAAATGCATAAAACACATTAAAATGACTACATCAGCGCTACATTTTACAAATGGGCTGCAAATTCAGAAATGCTGCAGAGTCAGTCACAACACAACGGAACAGAGCCATTCAAACTTTTAAACTCTACGCAGCATAAACAATAAAAGTGAGCTAAATTAACTAACATCACTGTATCTATCTTCATAGAAATTGCTGTACAGTGTATGACTGCAGTACAGGTATGACATGTCAGTAGCTAAACTAGCCAGCCAAGTTAACCATGAACTTACTGTAATGAGAGTCTCTGTGGTCTTATTAACTTCTGTGCCCATCACACATATTCCATCCCCCTTTAAGTCTTCCAGAAACACTTCCTTTGTGTTGTGGCTCCCTGCTGTTTTGTTGTGATGTTTCTGAAGTTGTGTGTTCTGTATTTGCAGAGGGTTGTGAAACGTAGCTCAGATGTCGTCATGTTAATGAAAGTGTTCTCTGTATTTGTATCGCATTTATGAGTTTGCAACATGACTCTAATTGCACTGTACATAGGGTCTTGTAGGCCACCATACTGATGACTGCAGTGAGGTGTCCATCTGTGGTCAGACAGGGTCATCACTCACCTTCACCTGACCAAACCAAGCCACAGCACAGAAGTGCTGAAAAATCAAACACGCAGACGCACACAGACGCACACAGACACAGCACACAGACACAGACGCACACAGACGCACACAGACGCACACACACAGACACAGACACAAGCACAAGCACAAGCAAACAAATATATGTGTTTGGATATAAGAATGACTTGCATTAATGTACAGGAATGTGTAATTCTGCCAACTACGCAGAAAGAGATCACTGAGAAACCTGTTTTTTCACTCTGCTCTTTTTTCACTCTTTTTTTCCATGACTGTTGCTTTTCTCTCTCTTTTTCAAGCTTTCTGTGCCCTTAAGCCCCCGTTTCTGTTCTGTTCTTTTGCTGCAGGTGTGTGTGCATAAAGAAGAGGTGACAGAGGTGCTGTGTTACTGTTTACTTTCTGCTGTGCTGATCCACACAGAGAACCTGATACAGCTACCTACACACACACACACACACACACACAGGCACTCAGCCATTCAAACACTCACATTCACTATCCTGATCAGACACACACACACGTTCTAAAGTGTGTACATGCGTGTGTATACTCTAAAGCCTGCAGTATTTGATTTACCATGCTCTTTATCTCTTTCTATCTCTAATCTCTCCCATTTACCTGAGCACTAGTCCACTGCTCCAGTAATGAGCACCATAAGCAATACACACACACGAAGAGCTGTAAGGGGTATAAAAATACATTGATGCACTGATCTGACTGCATCAATTTTGGAATCTTTTATTCCTTTTAACAATATTCAATAAAGTATGCATTCATTTTTTGAAATGTAAAAATCTAAATAGTTTTTATTAGTAATAGTAACAGCACTTCTTGAAAATAAATGTGCAGAGAACAACAATGAAAAAACAGTATTGTTTTTATTGCCTATAGTCCACTAATGTGTAAACAGTGCCTCCTTTCACATCTCTGCACTAATTTTTTTTGGATAATTTGGAATTAATCAAAACAAACTGTGGTGAAATTTGAAATTTCATGATCTAATGAATTCTTTTATAAATAATCATTAAAAAGCTGCTGATGAAATGGGACAAGGCCCTGAAAACAGACTACAGAAAAACATCACAAAATCCTTCTAAGTGTGTGTGTGTGTGTGTGTGTTTGTGTGTGTGTGTGTGTGTGTGCGCGCGTGTGTGTTGAACAGTGAATAGTGAGATACAGGAATGTAGGGAATGCTGGGCATATAAACGGAAAGGGAAATTCATTAACCCACATAAACACAGCTTCCCACTCAGACCTCACAAGACACATACATCCCACACACCAACAACATCCCACTGAAATCTGAAACACATATAAACAGACATTGCTAGAAATACAAGTAAGCATACAGGACTGTGCAAAAGTCAGAGACCACCCTTATTTCTTTTCCAGTAAAAAAGGCCATAAAATACAAGTCATTCTTTTGTCAGTGTAAAGAAAAAACAGAAATCATATTTAATAGAAAATTATACAGTCTCAAGTCTCAACAAGTAAACACAACAGGTTTTTCAGTATTTACTGTGTCCATTTCTTTACCTTTATTAGAGCTTTCATTCTTTTCAGGACACATGCTGTCAGTTTTTCTAAGAAATCTGCAGGGATATTTATCCACACCTCCAAAGTTCAGTCTTAGATGATGGTTGTATTTTCTGCTCCTCACAATCCAAGCAATTCAAAACACATTCAGTGATGCTGAGGTCTGGACTCTTGATTTGCAAATGTTCTTTTTTGTCTATTTCCTTTTCTCAGTAACAGCTTCTTCAAAGCAACACATCCTTTCAGACTCACTGTTTTGTTTTGTCTTCTCACCGTGGAAGGATGGGCAGAAAACCTGTGGGTTTTTCAGATATGAAGCGAGAGCAGAGCTTGATGTTCTCCTGTCGCCCAAAGATGAAAGCATAGGGTACTGTTTTGTGACTGTTGGTCACAGTGCTGGTGGTCTAGCAGGTCTTGCAGGGTTGTTATGAGTCACATTTTCTGTATATTTTAATAATTTTCTGAATTCCAGTTTTGGAAGCTCATGTTTTTCCAGGTATTTTCCCTTTTCTTTCCCCTTCCTTATGCAAGTGGATGATCTTATATCTAATCTCCTCACAAACTTCTCCTGAAAAATGAATCACTTACTTGAATGACGTAAATGAAGGGTGGTCTCTGATTTCTGCGTACTGTATGCTCCCTATATAACCTAGATAAACAGCTTAGAATCTGATCTCCTAGCCATACCCACACACACACACACACACACACACACACAGCTCTACCTATAATGCTGAGGCTGAAGTTGGAGCTGCTGCAGACTTGTCCTGCTCCGTTACGTGCGCAGCAGCTGTAGATGCCTGAGTCTTCAGGGACTGGATTTTTCACAGTGAAGGTTCTCTCTTTAACGGACAGTGCTGCTCCATCTTTGAACCACTTACTGTTTGGCCTGCAGGGGTACAACAGGGCATTCATCACACCTTATTGCTAACAATTAATCCCTCAAAACCTTCAGGGAACCCCTTAAAGGACCATTACATGGGTCCACACTTCAATTCCTCACTCTCATAACTTAATAACTTACATAACGTCTTCATAGCGCAACCAAATAACTCAAAGTAGTTACTTATAAAAAGCTTCATATTAATAACTGAATAATAATCATAGAGTTCTGGAGGTTAAATTCACTCTCAAATAATAAAATGACAAATTAATTCACTTATGCTGACTTTTTTTATGTGGTAATACAAGGCATTTTGTGAAAGCACTCAAAACAAGTTTCCCTGAAGAATAATATGCTAATATATTCTCATTACATGATGTAACTGTTGCAGTTGTTTGTCTGTTATTGCAGACTTGCAGGCAGAAATTAAGATAAAGTGCCGAAGACAGAGAGATAAAGAGATATTACTGGCTCACCTTGGGTGTCCATCAATCTGGCACTGTAAGATGATCAGCTCAGCATCATCTATCTCCTGTTTGGAGGCGGGTTCTTTCAGAATGACCGGCCCACTTTCCAACCCTGAAGAGAGACACAGCACATTAGTAATGTGTCGCACCTTAAAATACAAATGAATCCGGCCGTACATCTGCCTTTCCATCGTCTACTTATAAATAAACAGGAATGATCCAGTACCTGTCTCTGAGCTGGGGGTGCAAAGCATAGATCTATTCTATAGAGTCAGATTCTAACTTAACACAGGTTCAGAGACAACAGTACAAGCTCAGGAATAAAGGAAATCTCAGGAAACCACAAACACTCTTGCCAGACTGAGATGCCCTTATAAAGTAGACCCATAAAAATAAAGGTTCCCAAATGGTTCTCAGCTTGGATGTATGGTTCTAGGGGGGGAAAAAAAAACCTAACTTGTATATAACCTTGCTATTATGTGGAGGTTTTTTACATTTTAAAAAGGTTCCTCACACTTGCAAATCTCATTTACAAACAAGATATTCAAAAAAACATTAATCAAAAGGTTCTTTAGGGAACCAAAATTGGTTCTTCTATAGCATCACTCCAAAGAACTCTTTTTGGCACATTTATTTTTAAGTATGTAAGCATACAATACAGCATCACCTGATGCTAGTTTAAATATATAAAAATTGTAAAGTGTAAACTTAAAAGTAATGAAAGTTAGTACAGAATTGTCCTCCAAGTTGCAGTACTGAGAAAGTTTTGATTTTTTGATACATTGTGCCTTTTTAATACACACAGCAGTTAATGAGTACAGCTTGTTTTATAATTGATATAAAAAAACACAAAAATGAGATCTTAGATGATTTTATAAGAAAGAGTGAGAACCTCTTGAGCAAAAGAATAGAGAACAGAGTTTTAGTTTTTTTGACACCTTTATCTTTAGGAACAGCAAAAAACACCAGAGATAAGAATCTACTTGAATTCACAAATTTGACCCGGAATCTGTTTTTGCTGTCCAAATCAAGTAAACAGTTACAAAACAGTGAATATTGGGACAGAGTCTGGAATACTGGAAAAGTAGATGAAAAGGGAGAAGAAGACTGCTGCATCTTTGCAATCATAGACATTGCTACTCCTGCTTTTCCCCTTTTTCTGTATGTTATACTACTAAGTCTCATTCTCTGCTGTTATTGTTTGCTATCCAGTGTCGACCAGAGGAGGATGGGTTCCCCTTTTGAGTCTTGGTTCCTCTCAAGGTTTCTCCCTCTTGCTCTTACAGAGTTTTTCCTTGCCACTGTCACCACTGGCGTGCTCACGGGGGCTTGGACCCTGACTTTTCTGTAAAGCTGCTTTGTGACAACACCTGTTGTAAAAAGCGCTATATTAATAAACTTTGACCTGACTTGACTTAAAGAGAAGAAGCTGCAGATAATATAAAGGTGGTTGGTTGGGGGGTTGGGGGGCATGGGTACAGAAGAGTAGGGAAGAGTCACTTGTGCTGAGAAAAGCAGCTGGCTTAACAACTAACTTCACTGCTTTTTATTTGTATCAACATTACATGATTATTGTCCGAATCTCTTTATTATTAGGAGACATATGACATTATTATTCCTCTTAGTAATATAGTTTGTTTTAATGTTTTAACATTGACATAAAACCATTGACTAATCTAACCCTAACCATAAAAAGGACACACTTCTGCACACTTTAATGTGTTTGTTTACCAAATGTAACATATTGGGAACAGAGAAAATATACAAAATGTGGCTCTGCAAAAGTTTTCATATTTTAAATCAACAAAACATGTAATCTGAGAGTATTCAAAATACGCATCCGACCATAGGTATACTTTGTTCACATAGTTTTACGTTTAAGTTGCTGCATGTCGCTCTTGCCTCCTGATGTTAGTCCCCTCCACATATAAGACCAAATCGACACCCCTTGGCAGAATGAAGTGTAGGAGAACAGAGGGTGAGTCGAGAGCTGTGTGTGTTTGTATGTGTGTATCTGTGTCAAGATTTAAACATGCAAACTCCATTAACTCCAGGAAGAGGAGCTGCAGAGAGCTAAGCCATTCCAATGTGTGTAGCTCACTAAGAGATTTATGAATCTTCAGAGATTCCTGCCTTCTGCAGTTTACTGGTAAAATGATTTGTGGCATTTTTAATGAAAAGGAATATGTTTTACAGATGATCACAAAGAATAAACATAAGACAGCTTTTTACTTCATACATTCTGCTTTGTATATATATAGTATCATGTCAATGCACTGAAATGCTTAAGCAAGTGGACAGGGATTGCGTGCAAACACGTCTCCATCCTCCATCGTCTGCTGTAAAGCGCAGGGCTGCGAGGCAGAGGTCATTACCGTGTGCATCTGTTTAGCCAATCTCCTTGTTTGTTTGGCCTGTTCGTAATTGCATGTGTGTATATGTGTGCGTGTGTTCTAGTGTCCTAGCTGGAGGGTTAAGTCCAGTGTGAACACTTGAGCTCTACTCTCCATGCCGTTGGGCTGTGCAGTAAAGCTGCTCCTACACCAATATGTTTTTATTGCCCATAAAATATGCAAAGAATGAGCTACATTGAAGAAGCCGGGGGAGAGAGAGCGAATGTGTTTGTTTTCATAGATTTGCAGGGCATGGCATTTTACAAATACGACATGTTTCAAAGGGTAAAACCATTTCTCGGTTACTGAGGTTATGATTAGGGTTAGACTTAGGAAATATTGCATATTTGTATTTATATGTTGTTGCTGTCATAACACCTTGTAACTATTATTATATTATTATTATTATTATTATTATTATTTGTGCTTTTTATTTACACCAGCTGTCTTTCAAATTCTGTGAACAATTCATGATGAATGGACCAATAGAAATATTCCAAAATTACTCTGAATTAAATGCTGTAATATTTAAAATCAATGCAAGAAAAAAAGGAAAGAAAAAAACAAATAAACACACACAGTTATTTGTGGTTGATACACTGTTAATGGTTAATCACATGGTTTCTCAATGCTGCTATTTAATTTATTTGATATGCAAAGAATACTATCTAACAGAACCAAAAACTATCCTTTTGATTTCACACTTCAGTAGGCTTTTATTAAAAATAAGCTTTGATTAAACAAGTCAATAATAGAGCTTAACATTCTCAATTCTGTTCTAATTAAAAATACTGCAGTGCAGATTCTCCTATAAAGGTACCTATGAGTTTTTGTTACCACACACACACACACACACACACACTTTCTACTTTCTAAGCCGCTTATCCTTCAGGGGTCATGTATATATATATAGATTAATGCACAATTACCATTTGCTGATTCTAATATATGGAAAATGAAAATACAATGAAAAGGCACATTTTATATGATACGTGGTTTTTCAATATGTTAAACTAAGCAACTAAACAGAAATTGTGCACTACAATTTGCAGTGATTAAAAAATCCAGGACAGGAACATAGATTCAAGGTACAAATTTGTAGACTTCTGATATATAATCCTTATGGAACACATATGTAATGTGTATAATATGTCCTGATATTGTATAAAAACAAATCTTTGAGTGTGTGCATGTGTGTGTGTGTGTATATGCGTGTGGAGTGATGAGACACAAGTAAGGTCACAGGGGGCGCCAGAGTGAGTTCTGTCAAATTGCATTAACTCAGAGGCAGGTCTGGCCAGCGAGCCCCAGGGGATTATGGGTAACTGCAGCGTAGCCTGCACTGCCCTGCTCTCGACTGCAGAATGAGGGATGCGCTGCTGCTGTTTGGAGCCGAGCCTGACAGGCCTCAACCTAGAAATGCCCTGGGTCGCCTTTCTTTCTTTAATCTTTCTCTCAGAGTGTGATAAGAGTGTATGAGAATCTGGCACTGAGGCTATAGTGTACACACACACACACACACTCACTCACTCACTCTAGAGCCAAGTCATTAGGAGTGGTGAGACAGTGGGAGGGAAGATGCCTGTCTGTTCCCCAGAGGAATCACAGGAGAGAGAGAGAGAGAGAGAGATAGACATAGAGATAGAGAGAGAGATAGAGATAGAGATAGAGAGAGAGAGAGAGAGAGAGAGAGAGAGAGAGAGAGAGAAGAACGCCAAATACAGTTTCAGCTTAAATGCCAAACTCGTCCATATGCAGTATCCACTCAAACAGTTCTTATCTTCCATATGCAAATCAGATCCACCTCCACAGCTGCAGAGGTGTTTTTGCCGTGTTTCTGCCCCTTCAGCTGAATCATCTCCTCACAATAAGTGCCTGCTTTCCCATTACACACTCATAACTCAAACTCATAACAGCCTGCCTCTTATCAGTCCTGCAGCATTACCTTGCCTGGTCCTGCTTTCTGCTTATAGAGATTAATGGACACCCACTGACACTGCTGTATGAACGCCATCTTCACTGTGTGTATGTGTTACTATGGTGATTAGTTTCACCTGTAATCTTGGACTGAATAATGGTTTAATCAAAGCCTGGAGGTTGACGCAGTGGAACAACAAAGCAGAGAAGAGAAGAGAAGAGAAGAGAAGAGAGAAAGGAGAAGAAAAAGGGACAAGAGACAAGACAGAGAGGAGAAGAAGTAAACGGAGAAGAGAAGAAGAAAAGGAAGAGAAGAGAAGAGAAAAAGACAAAAGAGAAAAGAGAAGAAAAAGGAGGAGGTGAGACAAACAGAGAAGAGAACGGGAGAAGTGAAGAGAAAAATAAGAAGAAATGAGACAAATAAGAGAAGAGGAAAAAGGAGAAGAAGAAAAAAGAGAAGAGACAAGAAACAGAAAAGAGAGGAGAAGAGAAAATGAGAAGCGAAGAAAAAAGGGAGAAGAGATAAGACAGCGTAGAGGAGAAGAACAAAACTGAGAAGAGAAGAGAAGAGAATGGTGAGGTGAGACAAACAGAAGAGAACAGGAGAAGAGAAGAGAACAGGAGAAGAGAAGAGAAGAGAAGAGAAGAGAGATCAGTGACTGAAGCCTACTGCAGATTGATCTGACATCCCAGGTTGTGTAATTTAATTAGAAACTTGTGAACAATGGTGTCAGTGAATGAGGGGCATTGAATGGGAAAGACCGCTGAAACGGGTCTGCTATTGTTCAGAGGAAAGCCTGGC